AGGGAACTCGCTCATGAGCTCGCCCAGCTTCGTCAGATTCCCCTCATCGTCCAGCGCCCCCAGGTAGTTCAACAGCTCCAGCGCTCTCATCAGGGTTTCCGGGGCGGGCGGATCCATGAAGTCAAAATGCACCAGATCGTCAATCCCGAGCTTTTTTAGGGTTAGCACGACGTTTGCGAGGTTCGAGCGGAGGATTTCCGGGTAGGTTTGCTCCTGGAGGTCTTTTTGGAAGGAGCGTTCAGTGTAGAGCCGGAAACATTTCCCGGGCTGCGTTCGGCCGGCTCGACCCGCCCGCTGGTGCGCCGAGGCTTTGGAAATCGGGGAGACTAGGAGCGACTCGACTCGAATCCTCGGGTTATAGACCTTCTGCTTGGAGAAACCTGGGTCGATGACATAGACGATTCCGTCGATTGTGAGGGAAGTTTCTGCAATGTTTGTCGAAATGACGATTTTCCGGCCGGGCGGCCCGCCTTCTTTCGCGGGCGGCGGGGCGGCGTCGAAGATTTTCTGCTGCATGGCGGGCGGCAGCGTGGAGTAGAGCGGGACGACCTTCACCGGGCCGACCTGGTCGCCCATGTTCTGCACCTCGCGGGCGATCTTCTTGCACGCGTCCTCAATCTCCTCCTCCCCCGTGAGGAACACGAGAATGTCCCCCGGCGGCTCACACGTGTGGATCTGCACCACCGTGCGAATGGCTGCTTCCAAATAGTCTCTCTCTGGTTCCTGTTGGAGAGGGGGAAGAGGGGACAGGGGGGGGTGGAGGGGGGAGGGGAGGCAGAGGGGGGAGGGGAGGCGGAGGGGGGAGGGGAAGCGGAGGAAGGAGGGGGAGGCGGAAGAGGGGAGGGGAGGGGGAGGGGGGAAGGGAGGCGGAGGGGGGAGGGGAGAAGAGAGAGGGGGAAAGTGTGAGTAGAGCGGGACGACCTTGACGGGCCCGACCTGGTCGCCCATGTTCTGCACCTCGCGGGCGATCTTCTTGCACGCGTCCTCAATCTCCTCCTCCCCCGTGAGTAGGGATGAGCAAAGAAACGAACACCTGTTCGGTTCGCCTCGAAAGGTTATGTTTTTTAGCTTAAATTGTTCGCCCGAACACGCCTTCACAGGCGAACGCTGAACACCCTTTTTTGGGGAAGTCGTTCGGCGAACCGAACAGTGTTCGTGAAGGGGCGAACACGAACATGTTCGTGTTCGCCCTTTGCTCATCCCTACCCGTGAGGAACACGAGAATGTCCCCCGGTGGCTCACACGCGTGGATCTGCACCACCGTGCGGATGGCCGCTTCTAGATAATCCCATTCTGGCTCCTGTGGTGGGGATGGGGGGAGTAAGACCGAGGGAGGGAGAGGTAAAGGCTTGGAAGAGATGAGGGAGGCGAGGTTGCCAGATTCCTCTTGAAGGCTCATGTGAATCTGCACCACCGTGCGGATGGCCGCTTCTAGGTAGTCCCCTCCTCCTCCCGCTTCCCCCCCGCGCCCTCCCCTGCCCCCCCCTGCCCACCTGAGTGTAGAAGATCTCGACGGGGTGCAGCCTGCCAGGGACCTTCATGAGGGGCGCGCCATGAAAATACCCCTGAAACTTCTCGGCCTCAAGAGTGGCGCTCATCACCACGAGCTTGAGGTCCTTGCGGTGCTCCAGCACCGCCTTGAGCAGCCCAAACAGCACGTCCGTCGCTAGCGTGCGTGTGTCACTCTGCTCATGCTCCCTGTCTCCTCTCTCCCCTCTCCCCATCCTCCCTCCCCTTTCCCCCCTCCCCCCTGCCCCTCCACCCACCCTCTGCCCACCTGCGTGTAGAAGATTTCGACAGGGTGCAGCCTGCCGGGGACCTTCATGAGGGGCGCGCCGTGGAAGTACCCCTGAAACTTCTCGGCCTCGAGAGTGGCGCTCATGACCACCAGCTTGAGGTCTTTCCGGTGCTCCAGCACCGCCTTGAGCAGCCCAAACAGCACGTCCGTCGCCAGGGTGCGCTCGTGCGCCTCGTCCAGGATGATCGCCTTGTATCTTTCGAGTAAAGGGTCAGCCATGGCTTCCCTTAGAAGCATACCATCGGTCAGATACCTGGTTGGTTGTGATCAAGAAGGGGAAAGACAGAAGAGGGGAGTGAGGGAGGGGAGTGAGGGAGAGCGTTCGTGAGCCCTGTCTACACACTGATTGCGCTGCACCACTCCTTGCGGTGCTCCAGCACGGCCTTGAGCAGCCCAAACAGCACGTCCGTTGCCAGCGTGCGCTCGTGCGCCTCGTCCAGGATGATCGCCTTGTACCGCTCCAGCAGAGGATCGGCCATGGCTTCTCTTAGAAGCATACCGTCAGTGAGGTACCTGGACGGTAGAGACGGAGAGCCAAGGAGAGATGGATAAGGGGTTGAGGGGGTGCGCTCGTTCACCTCGTCCAGGATGATCGCCTTGTACCACTCCAGTAAAGGGCCCGCCATGGCCTCTTGCAACAACATACCGTCCGTGAGGTACCTGTAACAGGGAGCAGGAATACAAGGAAGAGGGGGAGGAAGTGGGGGGAGGGGGAGTGCGCTCGTGCGCCTCGTCCAGGATGATCGCCTTGTACCGCTCCAGCAGGGGGTCCGCCATGGCTTCTCTCAGAAGCATACCGCCTGTCAGATACCTGGTTACGACGGTGTAGGATTATGATCGCCTTGTACCGCTCCAGAAGCGGGTCCGCCATGGCTTCCCGCAAAAGCATACCATCAGTGAGGTACTGGTCGGTAAAAGGAAGAAGAGACGATAGAGACGGGACGCACCCTAGCTGCCCGCACTGTGCATTACAATGCACCTGCACCCTTGACACTGGTGATAAAGCTGGGAAGCCAATGCACCCTTGACACTGGTGATAAAGATGGGAAGCCAATGCACCCTTGACACTGGTGATAAAGATGGGAAGCCAATGCACCCTTGACACTGGTGATAAAGATGGGAAGCTTGACTAGCGCAGACTCACTTGAGGCTGGTCTTGGGGCCGCTGCAGTCCTTTTCAGTCCTGAGCTTGGTTTTGGGGAGACTCACTTGAGGCTGGTTTTGGGCCCGCTGCAGTCCTCGAATCGGATGGAGTAGCCCACCTCCTCGCCGATTGTCACGTCCACCTCGTCCGCCACTCGCCCACGGATGCGCGCACGCCATGCCATCCATCCCCTGTGCACAATCTACCCTAGCCATAGACACTTTCACTATAGGCACCCTTGGCATTGGCACCCCTGACTGACTGACAGCCTGCACAGCCAGCCCTGAAACAACTCAACTCACTTGAGGCTGGTCTTGGGCCCGCTGCAGTCCTCGAATCGGATGGAGTAGCCCACCTCCTCGCCGATCGTCACGTCCATCTCATCCGCCACTCGCCGCGACACCGACATCGCCGCCACCCGCCGCGGCTGCGTGCACGCCACCTGCTTCTTGTTCGTCGCGTTGAGGCACTCCACCACGAATTGCGGAATCTGGTTGGGGAGACGCGGAATTGCATTGCAGGGGAGGGAGGGAGGTTCTAAGAGGACTCAAAGGCCACTCGCCGCGGCTGCGTGCACGCCACCTGCTTCTTGTTCGTCGCGTTCAGACACTCCACCACGAATTGCGGGATCTGGGGCGGTACGATTTATAGGGGAGTAAGGGGTTAAGGTGAGCGCAGAAGCGTCGTAATTGCGTGCACGCCACCTGCTTCTTAGGCGTCGCGTTCAGACACGCCACGACGAATTGCGAGATATGGTTGGGAAGACGAGGGGAGGACGAGGCGTTCAGACACTCCACTCTAGCATCTCAAACACGTGCACGCCACCTGCGTCTAGAAAACTCCTCAGGAAATTTCACAAGATCGGCGACTTCAAGGGTTTCATCAGAGCGTGGGCCAAGCACGCACCGACCACTAACCTGCGTGGTTTTCCCGCTACCCGTCTCTCCCACAAGAACGATGATCTGCTGCTTATGAGTCTTTAGCAGATCGGCAATATTCAAGACTTTCTGTATGGTAGTGAGCCACGACGACTAACCTGCGTGGTTTTCCCGCTACCCGTCTCTCCCACGAGCACGATGATCTGCTGTTTCTTCAACAGATCCACAAATTCCTGCTTCTGCTGCCACACCGGCAGCGTTTTCCGCTTCTCGAGAATGTCGAAATACCGCTGCGTGTACGGCCGGCCGTTGTACGGGTTTATCGTCGTCGCCGCCGCCGCGGCCATTACATTCGCCGACGCCGCGGCGATTACAGCCGCCGCCGCCGACGTCGCATCAGCGAATCCGTCCACCTTCTGACGGCTCGTCTCCGGCGGAACGTCAAAGAGGCTGATCTTACGCTTGCGCTCGGTCCCCATGTCTGAGTGTTCGCTGAGTGCTTGCTGACTGCTTTCTGAGAGCTTTGAGCCAATTGCTCGCTTCTTGCGCACTGCTGGCCCCTTGCCAATTGCTGACTAGTTACTAACTTGCTGACTCGTCAGGCAATTGCTGACTACGCGCGGAGAGACTTGGGGTTCGCGAAACGCAAATTAAAGTTTCTGCACTCGGTAGACCACAAAAGGCAAAGGCAGACTGGATACCGCCGCGCTCGCTATAAGGAACTGATGTGCAGTAGGTGATTTTGCCAGTCTAGCAGGTCTGCTATGTGATGGGAGACTCGAGGTTAGTCCACAAGCAGCGTGCAGTTGGTGCGAAGGATGAGAAAGAGGAGAAACACGGAAGGGTGCGAATGACATTTTAGCCGAGAGGTCAGGGCTCACGGTGAAGCCTCACCCAAAACCCAGAGAATGCCGACATGTTCCCCGTCAGTACGTGATTTTGCCGACTCATACTGCGCAATATTTCAAGCTCCAACACTGTAGCTAGCATATTCTTAACGCTTCATCACTGTACATATACAGCTCACAGGCTATACATACATATCAGTACTATTTTCATGGCTCAGATAATTCCATGGCTGGTATTTACAGTAGCCGCTTCAAGTGTTATTTCGGAAGCCGCATGCCTCCAATTTATCATTATCGCCGGCAATCTTGTGGCTCGAGCCTCCCACATAGAGTCACAGCTTGTGCCCTGATAGCAGGGTTGCCAGCGCAGCTGCCACCCTGGAAGTGTTCCTTGTTGCGATCTGGCCAATGCAAGAACCGTCCTGAGAACCATGAATATGAAAAGAGCAAGACAAAGAAAAAGAATGCAAGAAACTTCATTTTGGCTTATAAATATGGATTGGGGGCAATGGGAGAGGGATGCACGAGTGGATTGCGCAAGCAGTTATGGACAATGTGCAAAGCATTGAGAGGGCATGATAGCATGAATGGATTGCACACGGCACCAAGAACAGCAGATACCATAATTATTATAAAAAATCTCACAAGAAATGGTTACATACCTTGAAAAAGGCAAAGGCGGGAACCAGCTTGATGCGATACAGCAGGGCAATTTCCTGAAAGAAAGGAATGGAGAATGAAAGAAATGCTCTAGGGGAAGGAAGGCAGAGAAACATAGAAAAGGCCACTGCTTGTAGCTAAAGGACTCTCAGGTTCAAGCCACTACATTGCTATAAGCCAATCATGTTGCAGAACTGAAAAAATATCAGGTCACGACTCCAGCTGAAAAGCACTGCTGCTGAAAAGAACAAAATGGTGCTTCCAATCTATGACCAACAATGAAACCTTGAGAACCACAAATATGCCGAGCCACCCAGCGAGTAACCATCTACGGACATACCGTTAAGTCGTCATAGTCGTCCCGGACATTGTGCTTGAGAAACCGAACGGCTGAAAACTCCTGCCGCACTGTTTCAGAGTCAACAGCATCTGCATCCTTGCTCTCTTCAGCTGCTGCTGGAGAAACATTGCTTGCGATTCCACCCGTTGTAACCCTATCAATCGTGGTGTTGTCTGAAACTGCAAATCCATCCACTGCACACTCAGAGTCACCCTGACAGCCCTGAACAGAGGAAAACGATCATGTGAGACATAGTCGCAAGGAGGAACCAGGCAAATGAGGGAAGAAAACGACAGCTTGGCCAAGGAGATCTATCACATGGGAACATGACGTGCTCTTACTGATTTGCAGAGGTCTATGAATCTGGGAAGAATGTATCTACACGAGCCACATGACGAATTGTAGAAATCCACAACCACCTGCATCAGGCAACCGCATTTGTGATCATTCAGTCCATTACAACAAAGAAACGAACAGACTGCCACTACAAGGCTCGAGAAACCTGACTCTTGATTTTAATATTCTCCTCCATTCCTCATTCCAATCTCACCAGCTGCATATTCTGCTCCGCTGTAAGCAGCTCCGCTTCCAGATCAGCCATAGTCCGCACCTCCCGCACGCAATCCACTGGGCATGTCACAGCTGATTCAGTCCGCCGCTTCTCTTCCTCCTGCCGAGAAAGTATTGGGTAAAAGATGGAACGGAAGCTGTGAAGAAGGGAGGTTTCGATCATAGTTATCAACAATTCAACGGGTGTATCATGCCAACCTGTGCAAGTGATTCATCGAGATCGGTGGTGTGGGGTGTGTGTAAGGGGGGTTGGGAGAAGAGAGAGCTGAGCGAGAAGATTAATATTGAACCGCGTATGGAGTAAGACTCGAAAGAGCGGCGTTAAACAACGTGGAAGGGACACGCCGATCGCTTGCACAATCTCTGCGAGATCGAGCGGGACACTCAAGAGGGACCCAGAGACGTGTATCGCCTGCACGCGGAGTGCGGGTGGCCTCAGAAAGAACGCCTGTCGGGTGTACGAGCGTGTTTCAAGGCTCCCTGAAACACCGAAGTGTTCGGCGTCCGGTAGGATAATGGCAGGAACTAGCAATCAGCAGCGCCACGTGGCATCACCCACTCACCAGCTGACGCCGGAAGAGCTCCTCGAGATGCTTCCGGCGGTCGACCTGGATCCGTGCGGATACGCGCAACCGCACGGGGGCCGTTGATGGCCGGGATCTGACGGTAGAGATCGTCTGATTCCACCGACGACGAAAATCGATCGCCATAGATCCCCGGGGAGCTACGTACGCATGAACATTCGTCGGATGCTTTAAGTCGAGCCGCGTGATTGAAGCAAACTGCATGCTTCCTACCGCAGTTGTTAATCTTTCAAGGGGAGATGACGTTTGAGTCGACTCAAAAGTCAGTTCCTACCGCAGCTGTTTATAAAACTCTCACGGGGAGATCTAGCTGCCGCAGACCACAAGCACACTCGAATGCTTATCGAGATGTATTTCCTGAGTGGCTCTCCTCGAAATCGTTTGAGAGTCGAGATACAAACACCTGATGGAAGTGGCTTGCAGACTCTCACTCCGAGTCTGGTATGGAAACTGATATGAATTCAACTCTGACTGGCATGGCTGTGCAGGTGTTTCGTGTATTCCTCGAGTCAATCAACAGTCTCGACTCGAGGCCCAAAGGAGGAATTGACACCAAAACCATTAGGAAAGTCGCAGTTTTGGCTTTGATTCCCCCAAAAATCCAGGAAACCTGGAGAACCACGACCATCCCTTGCACAAATATCTGGGCGCCACCTCAGAGCAATTTATCAATTCTTCAGCGCAACAATTTGAACTACCCTAATATATCATGTCACTGGATTCAGTCTCTTGAGTTCAATAAAGTACAGAAGAATTAGGATGAAGCATTAGGATGCCCCCAACTATTGACTACGCAGTATTTAGATAGGAAACTTCCTCGATCCTTTTCAAGCACGAAGGGTTCACTTCTTTGGGCAGGTTCCAGGACAGGTGATCCTAGTGCCGCAGGCGTTGAGGTAAGTTGGAGGAGCCTTGCCATACCCGCACAGGCCAGGAGGGCATTTGTCCCTGCAAATTGTTGGGAAACATAACCGAGTTGGGAGAAACACCACCAGCCAATGGCATCAGCAAGGGCAGTGTGACAGCAAGACGGGAACAGAGAAAAATGGTATGCGTTCGTCCTTCCTCACCTGCAGCAACGCTTGGCCTGCGGCTTGGCTTTGCTGTTCTTGTTCACCAGGCACTTAAACTGTCCCGAAGCGCCACATTGTTTATCTGTCGCACAAGGCCTGCCATCCTGCAACCACAACACACCAGCCAGCGATGAGCACAAGAAAGAATGAAGGATACACGGCGGTTGGTTCAACACGAGGCCCAACTAGAGGGCGCAAGGGGTGAGGTGCGGTGGGGTGCGGTAAGGTGACGTAATTGACTCACAATTATGTTAACGTTGCATCGGCCGGTCTCGTAGTTGCACACTTGGGCGTAGGCATTAACGCTGAGACAAGACGGTAGGCAGAGGGACAGGTTGGGGCGAGGGGTGAAAGCAGTGGGAAAAGGGGTGATCGGAGCGGAGAGGTGAGGACAGAACCAAATGGTACGACGAGAAAAGGGTGGAGAATCGTCCGGCTAATGCTGGTGCATCGCCTGGCTGATGCTGGAAGTAGAGGGTAGCATGGTGGCAAACGACTTAGGACTGCACCCGAAGCCTGCCACCGCCTCGTCGTCCGCGCGCAATTGCAAAAATTGATCGCATCCATGCCAATGTGAGAACCTCAAGAAAAGCTGATAGAGAGTACAATAAAACAATAAAATTAGCCCAGAATCGAACAAACAACTCGTGATTGCGACGTGCAAGTTCCCCGAGTCTTGATAGTTGGCTGCTTGGCTTGGAGCACTCGGTGTGGCGTAAGGATCACTTGCTCCATTCAGGTTCAAGTTTTAGCCGAGGCGGTTGACCCTCTTCCGCCCTGCACGCGCAGGTTTTGAGGCGCCTCGAAACTCGTACCTATACGCATAGGTGCTCGCAAGGCTGGCAAGCGCAAGGCGGTCTGGCTGTGTCTGACAGAAATTGCAAATATGACGTTTCCTGACAGACGTGCTACAGTCTTCGAAAGAGGGGTAGGTAGGACGACGTTATGCGCCTCTGGTCTCGCATCCTTAATATGCAGCCATGTACTCAGCAACACGCACTTCACGCCCGCATGTGCCGCAAGGTAACAGAGGTGCGGTCCAGCCACAATGCTGAACGATCATAGATTTACGTTGCGGTCAAAAAAAAAAAAAAAACTCACTTGTCCCGAAACGCGCATGTGTCGCAGGTCTGCAGGGTGTAGGGCGGCTTGGGATTCGCAGAAGTGGAACAGACATAGTAGAGGCCGCACTGGTTGCTGCCGCGACGCGGGCATTGGTAGTTCCTGATGCAGCCGGACCGCACCTTCGCGTCCGACGCCGGAACCGACGCGGCGAGCAGCAGCAACGCGACGGCTACGGACGGCAACATGATTGCAGGAGATGACGGGCTGGAGGAGAGTATGCAGAGGAGTATGGAATGGCGCGGGAGAAGAGGAACGGAACAGGGTTGTTTGATGAGCGAGGAGTAGGAAATCTACTAAAATCGAGCCGAGATCAGATCATTCGATAGTGCACGGAGGTTCCGCAGAAAAATATACGCGGATAGTTCGTAGTGAGCGGTGCCCTTGTCTGGCTGTTCGAACACTTTCTGCTTATATGCATGGAGATGTACCTGTGAAATTCTTGTAGTGATGGCCTTGACGGAGGCGAAAACAGGGCACAGGACCCAACGACGTAACGGGAAGAGTATGATGTGTTGTAACCGATCGAGGTGGAAACGCCACAAGAATGGACGGTGCAGGACCTTCACGAGTCAGCTATGGAAAGGTTGGTCGGGTGATAGAAGGGGAGTGTTTGCTCTTCAAAAAACTTGCAATGATTGTGTTGTGTGAGGGGTAATTTCTGAAGAAGAGATCAGCAGCACAACCATGAAAAACTGGTGTGGGGGAGAGAAGGATGGGATGGGCGGAGTGGGAGGAGGGGAGGGAGAGGTGGTGGTGGGAGGGGGGTTTGTCGGCGCGAGATACGGTGGGGGGTGGGTGGTTTTGGTGCCGGCGGTGCGCGGGGGTACGGGATGGATGGCATGGCATGACTCCCCTCCCATGCTTTTGGCACTGCTGCTCGCTGCTGCACCATCCACGACCGCGCATACACATTCCTGCCGAAGCCCCCGACCTGCACACCGCCCCGTGTTGATTGGTGTAGTGATCTGCGCCGAACGTGCGCCATTTGGCATTCGCGAACAGTCGCGACGGGAGCAAGGACAATGCTTGCCAAGGTTGGTGGAAGTGAGTGGTGGTGGTGGATGCAGGGTTACCGAACTTGAACGAATTCACTGCTGCCGTGTGACAGGCGCAGTGAATGCGAAATGTCCTTCGTGGGGTCGGAGTCTGATGGCACCGACTGGGTTGGGGCAGCGTAAAGACGTTTGAAGCAGCTCAACTGCCCGAAACATTTCTGGCCACCGATGTTCGCCGTGCACACGTCTGATGTGTTTTGGCTCGCATAGCAATGTAGAAACCCTGCGGTGCGTCTACCGTGCAGTTGGCTATGTGGGCGGACAAAAAACCGCTCGAAATTTGGCATCGTAGACACATTACACATAATTCTTGGATCATTCGCGAAAAGACAGGGCAAAAGCTGCATTTCTGTATTCGTCAGTTCCTCCCCACAAGCTCGTCAAATCTGCCCAGAAACAGTGCTTCCCCCAGCCCCTGGACCTTTGGAGCTGCCACAGTGAATGCTGTGCTTATCATGCCACTAGACGTTGACTTGTTGACCTGATCAACCGTCAACGTTGTTACCAGCACTGGCACCTGCGACCGAACGTACAGGTGCTTCCATCATTGAAGTCATTTTGATCCTTTACAGCACAACATTCTTCCTGCCATAAGACAAGTCACGCATTTGGCAGGGATATTATGTATATGGTAGCTAACATGGACCTTAAACATGCATGGACATAATAACATTGGGTTTCACATGTTTGGTAATTATTTTCACTCTTCGGTGTTAGAGTGAGGATCTTGGATAGGATAGCACTGCCTTAGAGAGTTTTGGTAGCGGAAGACTTGTTGTAGGAACCTTGTGCGTAGTAGATGTAAATGACAAAGTTGATTTAACGGATAAAACACACACAGTAAATAGATCTAGTTAGCCATGTACTCTAAGGGGTACATTCTCTTGTTCTAACTGTTTTACAAGCATTTCTACAGTGACTCTGACTACTGCTCTTCTTCTTGTTACCGAGTCGCTGGGTGTAACCGTTCTGATGGTTACGCCTGTTGCCATTCCTTGCTGGTGAGTCAATCGGTCCAGATGGTCAACAGTTGCGACAGCTGACCTTTGCAACTGTTGACCTTCCTGCCCTTGTTACAGGCTGATCCGATGCAGCTTCAATAGTGACGGGTGCGATACAGCTGCACCTACGGGAATGCTAAACTCAATTCCATTCATACTCCAACTCTGGGGGGGCGATAGCATCGACAAGTGGTGAGGCATTTGCCACGGCCAGAAGGCAGTGGACGAAATAAGAGATGCTGAGCTGCCAAGTAATAACCGCAGGAGCCGTGGTTGGTTGTTTGTCAACTGCTACGTCATCCCCATCCTGCTTTTCCAAGCGCATGCGTGTCGAGTCCCAGGTGGATATATTAGATCAGGTGAATAGGTCGTTTCATGGTTCGATTTGGCGCCAATGTGTCAGATGACAGCCAGTCGTCCTCCGGAGCCATTAGTACGGTAATACCTTGCATGCACAACCAGAGGCAAAGGTGAGCTGGACTGGAGCCTGTGATGCTGGAAAAGCTTGCACTCATACTGTATCAAGCCCCGTTGTCACTGTCAATGCTCTTATTGATTGAAAGGAGCTGCTGTTCGTTCTTTGTCGTATAGACTACAGAGTGTCGTCCACTTGACCTACCACCCCGCATCCATAAGTGTGGGAAGAGTGGAGCTCTTTCATGCCTTTGTTACAGATGGCAGGTGCATTGGTCGGTCTAAAAAGCACGACGGTGGTTTCGAAGGAGCCACTGGGTTGGCGTTATCGGTAGTACCTGTCAAATGTTGAACATTGTTATAATAGACTGTAGTGAGTAGCACAGTAAAGAGTACAACACTTTCTAGGTTTGCTATTTGTATCGCCCACTTTCTTAGTTCATCCATTTCTGTTGCTAGTTACTCTTAAGATGGTATCACGAGTAGGTTCGTTCTTGACCGTTCCTAGCCCGTTCCTAGCCTAGCGCGCACCCGCGCCTCCGCGCCCTCCCCTAGTGCACCCTCCGCGCCTAGCGCGCACCCGCGACTCCACGCCCTTCGTGCCTCTGCACCTAACCCGCACCACTGCACCCTCCGTGCCTCAGCACCCTCCGCACCTAGCCCACGCCCTAGCCTAGCGAGCACCCTACCTCAGCCCTTCACACGCCCTTGCCAGCCCATAAGATTGTATCACGAGTAGGTTCGTTCTTGACCGTTCCTAGCCCGTTCCTAGCCTAGCGTGCACCCGCGCCTCCGCGCCCTCCCCTAGTGCACCCTCCGCGCCTAGCGCGCACCCGCGACTCCACGCCCTTCGTGCCTCCGCACCTAACCCGCGCCACTGCACCCTCCGCGCCTCGGCACCCTCCGCACCTAGCCCACGCCCTAGCCTAGCGAGCACCCTACCTCAGCCCGACACGCGCCCTTGCCAGCCCAGCAGCGCGCGCCCTGCCCTAGCCCGTCACGTCGCCCGTGCGCCCTGCCCGTAGGCCGCGCGTAGCTCGTACGCCCTACCCCAGCCCGTTCCGTCGCTCGTGCGCCCTTCCCCTAGCCCGCGCATAGCCCGTGCGCCCTGCCCGTCGCCCACGCACGGCCCGTACGCCCTGCCCCTAGCCCGCGCGTAGCCCGTGCACCCTGCCCGTCGCCCATGCGCGGCCCGTACGCCCTAGCCCGCGCGTAGCCCGTGCACCCTGCCTGTAGCCCGCGCACCCCTGGTCCGCCCGCCCCGCGCGCCCTTACCCACCCCTCTCGTTTCGTTGGTTTGACACTCGCGTCACTCCTACTCACAGTGTTTCGCACTGTCGCGGCTGGAGGCCGCTCCACCTAGCTGTCTAGGCTACTATTGACGTTCGTTGTTAGCTAGGTCTCTCCTCGCTCCGCCAGCCCCTCGAACGACTCTCCGGCTCCTTGATCGGCTTGTCAGCCCTGCCTCCTCCAATCGTTTGCTCCTAGCTCAGCTAGCTCCCAGCTCCGTTTGTTACTACACTAGCGTTCCTAGCTAAGTGTTCCTCCATGCTCCAGCAGTGCCTCGCCTGGCGCTCCTGTTGAGATAGTAACTTTGTAGGAGATAGGAGCCATACTAGGGTAGGCTAGACATGAGTGTCGAGAGTAAAAGTGAGAGAGGAAAATATGTTTCACTAAGAGAAGAAGGTACAAGATATAGGAGCGAGAGATGGCAAAGGGTGCACCACCTACAGGGACTATAACAATAACTACACTACAGCTATAACTATATGCAGTTATGCAGAAATATATATAAAATATATTCTGACACACCCGCTAACTGCATGCAGGAATAGCCATGTGCAGAACACCCCCTGAAGGGGTACACCTTGTGCAGCGGAAGGAGAGAGCAAGTGAGGAGGAGGAGGGACCATGAGAGGAGAGGAGGTGGGGGGAGGTGGCTGGTGCTGCAGCTGGACTCACACCACCCCCTCAACCTGCCCCCCACAGCAGCAACAGCGGCAATGAGGAGAGAGAGGAGGAGGCGCGGCGACATTTGCTGCAGTTGTGTCACCCACCACCCACATCCCCTGAGCCTCCCCACCACTACACACTCCCCCCCACAGCAGCAGGTGCGGCTGTGAGAGAGAGGAGGCAGGTTGGCGCTGTAGGTGCAACCTCCCCCTCACACCTTCCCTCCCCTCCCCACCCACCCAAACTGCTGCACGTGCAGCAGGGAGGGAGGAGAAGGGGGGGGGGGGTAGGGGCTGTGCATGGGGGCTGCAGATGTGTGTGCAGAGGGCAGCAGGGCGCACGGGGCGCACAGGGCAGCAGGGCAGCAGGGCGCGCGGGGCGCGCAGGACAGCAGAGCGCGCGTGGCGCGCAGTGCTGCAGGGCGCGCGGGGCGCGCAGGGCAGCAGGACAGCAGGGCGCACGGGGCGCGCAGGACAGCAGGGCGCGCGGGGCGCGCAGGGCTGCAGGGCGCGCGGGGCACACAGGACAGCAGGGCAGCAGGGTGCGTGTGGCGCGCAGGGCAGCAGGACAGCAGGGCGCGCGGGGCGTGCAGGACAGCAGGGCGCGTGGGGCGCGCAGGGCTGGAGGGCGCGCGGGGCGCACAGGGCAGCAGGGCAGCAGGGCACGCGGGGCGCACAGGGCTACAGGGCGCGCGGGGCGCGCAGGACAGCAGGGCGCGCGTGGCGCGCAGGGCTGCAGGGCGCGCAGGGCAGCAGGACAGTAGGGCGTGCGGGGCGCGCGGGGCGCACAGGGCAGCAGGGCAGTAGGGCGCGCGGGGCGCGCAGGGCTGCAGGGCGCGCGAGGCGCACAGGACAGCAGGGCAGCAGGGCGCGCGCGGCGCGCAGGGCTGTAGGGCGCGCGGGGCGCGCAGGGCAGCAGGACAGCAGGGCGTGCGGGGCGCGCAGGACAGCAGGGCACGCGGGGCGCGCAGGACAGCAGGGCGCGTGGGGCGCGCAGGGCTGCAGGGCGCGCGGGGCGCACAGGGCAGTAGGGCAGCAGGGCGCGCGGGGCGCACAGGGCTGCAGGGCGCGCGGGGCGCGCAGGACAGCAGGGTGCGCGTGGCGCGCAGGGCTGCAGGGCGCACAGGGCGCGCAGGGCAGCAGGACAGTAGGGCGCGCGGGGCGCGCAGGGCTGCAGGGCGCACGGGGCGCACAGGGCAGCAGGGCAGTAGGGCGCGCGGGGCGCGCAGGGCTGCAGGGCGCGCGGGGCGCACAGGGCAGCAGGGCAGCAGGGCGCGCGGGGCGCACAGGGCTGCAGGGCAGCAGGGCGCGCGGGGCGAACAGGGCAGCAAGGCAGTAGGGCGCGTGGGGCGCGCAGGGCTGCAGGGCGCGCGGGGCGCACAGGGCTGCAGGGCGCGCGGGGCGCGCAGAACAGCAGGGCGCGCGTGGCGCGCAGGGCTGCAGGGCGCACAGGGCGCGCAGGGCAGCAGGACAGTAGGGCGCGCGGGGCGCGCAGGGCTGCAGGGCGCACGGGGCGCACAGGGCAGCAGGGCAGTAGGGCGCGCGGGGCACGCAGGGCTGCAGGGCGTGCGGGGCGCACAGGGCAGCAGGGCAGCAGGGCGCGCGGGGCGCACAGGGCTGCAGGGCAGAAGGGCGAGCGGGGCAAAAAGGGCAGCAAGGCAGTAGGGCGCACGGGGCGCGCAGGGCTGCAGAGCGCGCGGGGCGCACAGGGCAGCAGGGCAGCAGGGCGCTGCAGATCCCCTCCCCTCAACTGCTGCACCCGCAGCAGGGGGATGGAGGAGAAGGGGGGGGCGGGGGGGGGGGGGGGGGGCTGGTGCTGCAGATCCCCTCCCCCTCCCTGCTGCAACCGCAGCAGGGGGATGGAGGAGAAGGGGGGGGGGGGGGGGGGGGGGGGGGGGGCTGGTGCTGCAGATCCCCTCCCCCCAACTGCTGCACCCGCAGCAGGGGGATGGAGGAGAAGGGGGGGGCTGGTGCTGCAGATCCCCTCCCCCCCACTGCTGCTCGACAATCCGTCACCCCCCAGGGATGGAGGAGAAAGGGGGGGCGGGGGGGGCTGGTGCTGTAGATCCCCTCCTGCCACTCCCTTAACCTCCAAGCTCCCCCCCCCTCTCAACACAAGGTGCGGCAGGGAGAGAGAGAGGAGGAGGCGTGGCGGCAGCTGCTGCTGCTGAGGCACATCCGCCACCCCCTCACACCCTCTCCCCCCCTTCCCCATGGAGGGGGGGGGGGAGGGGGAAGGGGGCGGGGGCGGGGAATGAGCTGTGCGTGCGACTGCAGGGCGCGCGGGCAGGAAGAAACCGTCGCGCGCTCGAGGCGTGCGACGGGTAGAAACCGATGCGCGCCCGGGGCGTGCGACGGGCAGGAACCGACGTGCAGCCGGGGCGCGCATCGGGCAGGGTGCGCGACGGGCAGAAACCGACGCGCAGCCAGGGCGCGCATCGGGCAGAAAATCGACGGGCTAGGAGCCGGGGCCTAGGGGCGTCGAGCGACGGGGCCGGGCCTAGGGGAGCGACGGGCGACGGGGCCGACGGGCCTAGGGGCGTTGGGCAACGGGCGATGGGGCCGACGGGCCTAGAGGCGGCGGGCGCGAGCGACGGGCTAGGGGGCCGGAGGCTAGGGGCGACGGGCCGGGCTAGGAGCGACGGGCCTACGGGCCGGGCTAGGGGCGACGGGACGGCCTAGGGGCGACGGGCCTAGGGGCGACGGGCCGTGGCGACAGGCCTAGGGGCGACGGGCCAAGCGACGGGCTGGGGCCGAGAGCAAGGGGCGACGGGCGCGGGGCGACGGGCCGGGGCCTAGGGGCTACGGGCGACGGGCCGTGCCGAACGTCGAGAGGAGAGGGCCGCACGAGGGCGGTGCGCAGGGCAGCAGGTGGTGGGCCCAAGGGTCGTAACTACTCTAATACCATATTGAGATAGTAACTTTGTAGGAGATAGGAGCCATACTAGGGTAGGCTAGACATGAGTGTCGAGAGTAAAAGTGAGAGAGGAAAAGATGTTTCACTAAGAGAAGAAGGTACAAGATATAGGAGCGAGAGATGGCAAAGGGTGCACCACCTACAGGGACTATAACAGTAACTACACTACAGCTATAAAAAAAATGCAGTTATACAGAAATATATATAAAATATATTCTGACAGCTCCTCGCTCTTAGCTCCGCTTGCTCTGGGTTCCGGGTGCTCCTAGCCTAGCCTCCACTATGGAGTCCTCCCGCCGCCTTCGTTTCGACGTGGAGGGCCGCTCGATAGAGTTCGGAACCTTGCTCCGCCAGACTCAGCACTATCTTACCAGTCAGTGCCAGGATGGCGCCACCCTGTACGCCCACACGTCCGGCACCCTCCAGGGATCCCGGCGTCCCCAGCCCCTGCCTACCGAGCCCGCCCCGACTTCGGAGGCGCAAGTGGACTACGATCGTCTCGTCTTGGCACGGGACGTTTGGGACTCCCATGATGCTACGGCTGCTCTCGCGTTGACAGAGCTCCTTCCATTGAATGAGGCCGCTCACTTCGACCTGGTAGAGACTGCGAAGGGGGTTTATGATACTATCTCTGCACGCTATTCCACCCCTTCCTCTGCCTCCCTCAGCCGTTTCCTCATGCGGTTTGTGTTTCCCGACCTCGGCTTATTTGTGACCGTCTCCGACCTAGCCACTCACTTGCGTTCCCTTGTCGCTAGCTACCGTGCAGCTTGCACTGAGGCTCAGCTTCTTGTTGCTCCCCCTCCTATCCGGCTCAGTGTCCACTGGGTAGTCACTTGTCTCCCTGACCGCCTCTCCTCTACCCGTGACGCTCTTCTCCAGCAGCACCCCAGTGAGCTTACGATTGATCTTCTCGAGACCACTCTCAGGAAGATCGAGAGTAACCTCCTCTCTGTTGCCTCGGCCACTGACGCAGTCGCTCCCCGTCTGTTTGAGGGGTGTGCTGTACCCCAGCTTCCCACCTTCACTGCTACTCGTGCCTCTGCTGCTGTGTCGGTCTCTGAGGACACTGCAGTTGTTTTCCGCTGACCGGCAGAAACGGGGCAAGGGTGGCAAGAAAGGGGGGAAGGGGGGTGGCGGCGGTGGAGGAGGTGGTGGTGGTGGAGGCGGCACTGGGGGCGGCAGTGGGGGCATCGGGAGTGGTGCACCAGGCGGAGGGAGCCCCGAAAAAGGTTCGATCAGTGGTGGTGGGGGGCCCCACCAGCAGCAGCCACAACAGCAGCAGACACGGCAGAGACAGCAGCAGCAGGGACAACAGCAGTGGTAGGCACCACAACAGTTTCAGTCGTGGGGACCCCCACTGCAGTGGGGTCCGCAACAACACTTGGGATCTCCGCCACAGTGGGGACCTGGAGGACCCGGGAGCACTGGCCGCAGAAGCAGCACTACCAGCTGGGCCCCGTGCCCCCCGCGGCGAGACATCGGCCCTTGCGACCACTGGTGCGTCACCGGACCGGGCAGTCCCTGTGTCTGCAGCCGCGACCACCACTCTGCCGCGCGGTGCTTTCGCCGCCTCGACGACCTCTACCGTGCACGCTGGGGTCCTGAGGCGACCACCTCGCGCTGGGCTCGCCTGCTAGCCCGTAAGATTCCTGTATTTGAACTGTCTATGGACGATGCTTGTCAGTATGCTTTGTATGCTGATGTTGACTATGGTGCTGATGGATCCATGTGCTTGCGTGTTTGTAGTCTAGGATGCTCCCCTCTTGTTAGTGTAGACTTGTGCCTCTCTGGTCTAGGTGCTTGTGTTTCTTCTCTAGGTGATTATGTAGCCAACGGACCTGGCACACCTCTGGCTGAGGCGTCCCTGTCTTTCACGCTGGACTCTAGCGCGTCGCAGTGTTTCTTCCGCGACCACATGACCCTCACACAAATCCTTGCTCTGGTTCCGGTAGCTCTAGCTGATCCTTCTTTAGGACCAGCCATTGCGCGTAGCTCCACCACCCTCCCGTGCCCTATGGTCCCCTCTGGTGTCCTACGCGGCCTCCACATCCCCTCGTTCACTCGGAACTTGGTGGGTGTTGGATACCTCCAGAACAGGGGGATCATCGTTACCTTGGTGGGGGGTGGGAGGACTGAGGTCTGTACAGAGGCTACCACAGGTGCTGTTCTGGCCATGTTCACCAGGGAGCCCCGCTCCGGTCTCTACGTTCTCCATACCGAGCACTCCCCAGTTGCTTCCTCCGCTTAGGTCGCCGCGTCCCCTCAGGTCCCAGTGTCTAGTCCGATTGCTGTCTCTAGTCAGGTAGTGGTGTCTAGTCAGGTTGCTGCGTCTTGCTCCTGTTGGTCCCTAGCCCACCCGACCGTCTGGTGGCACCACCGCCTTGGCCACCTGTCGCTCCCCCACCTCAGCAGCATGGCCAGTCACGGTCTTGTCTCAGGTCTTCCGCGCGTCTTTCCGTTGCTCCCGCCCTCGCTTGCTCCACCTTGCACTCCTTGCGTTGCCGGCCGCCTGCGCACCACTCTGCACTCCTCCTCCCTTCGTCCGGCCACTGCTCCTTTCCTGACTCTCCACTTGGACGTCTGGGGCCCTGCCCCTACGCACGGAACACAGAGGGAGCGCTACTTTCTGGTGGTCGTTGACGACTACTCCAGGCACACCATGGTGTTTCCTCTCGCGAAGAAGTCCAAGGTGACTTCTATGTTGATCCGGTGGCTTCTGGCCACTGGGGGCACTCGTGGTAGTCGTTTCTGTTGTCTCCACTCCGACCGTGCGGGTGAGTTTCGCTCCGGCATCCTTGCCGGGTTCTGCGGCAAGCAGGGCATCAGACAGTCCTGGACGCTGCCGGAGTCCCACAACAGAATGGGGTTGCTGAGCACCGCATTGGCTTGGTCATGGACATCGCCCGCACGTCCATGATCCATGCCCGTGCGCCCCATTTTCTGTGGCCCTACGCGGTTCGCTACGCCGCGGACCAGCTGAACCTCCAGCAGCGTGTCTCGCGGCCAGAGGCTTCACCGACCCGTCTTTGGACCAGGTCCCCTGGTGTTAGGTCAGCCTTATGTGTCTGGGGCTGCCTTGCGCTTGTCTGCGACACCTTTGCGGACAAGCTCTCGGCTCGCGCCATCCCCTATGTCTTCCTTGGTTTCCCGGTGGTCTCTCCCGACTACTCCTTTTAACACCCGCCCCTCCACCAGTTCCTCGACTCTAGTGACGTCCGGTTTGATGAGTCTGTGTCCTACTACACTCGGTACCCCTGTCGAGGTCTCCTGGTTCCCCTTCTTCCCCTCTTCCTCGCACCCTCTCCTCCCCCTGCTCCCGCTCCTCTGTTACCCCCGCCCCCCCTGGTCCTGCCCCGTCAGGCGTGTCTCACGCTACCTCTCTACCCTTGGTCGTGCGTCAGGTAGCGTCTCCCTCCCCGCAGTCCTCCTCACAGTCCCCTTAACAGCCCTTGGCACTTCCGTGACAGGTTACTATGGACTCAGGTGGTGTTGGAGCTGGAGGTACTGCCATTGGTGGTACTCGGTCTGGGGGCGCTCGTTTGAGAGGTGTTGGAGCTAGAGGTGCTGGCACTGGCGGTGCTAGTTCTAGGGGTGGTGGAGCTGGAGGTGCTGGCGCTAGTGGCGCTAGTTCTGGGGGTGCTGGAGCTGGAGGTACTGGCACTGGAGATGCTAGTTTTGGGGGTGCTGGAGCTGGAGGTGCTGGCGCTGGTGGCGCAATTTCTGGGGGTACTGGAGCTGGAGGTACTGGCGCTGGTGGTGCTAGTTTTGGGGGTGTTGGAGCAGGAGGTGCTGGTGCTGTAGGAGCTAGTACTGAGGAGACAGGAGCTGGAGGCACGACTACTTCGGCGCCCACTGCGCCTCCCCACCGCTACGACACACGTCTCCAGGCTCTTTGCGGGCTTGAGCGCGAGGAGCAGGAGTGGTTGGAGCAGGAGAGGCAGGAGTTGCAGCAGTTGGACCAGCAGCAGCAGCAGCCACCGCAGCCACCACTTTTGCAGCACCTGTTCCCTCCAGTGAGTGGCCTTTGGGCCCTTGGTCTTCCATCCTCTCCTCCTGTCCACTCACACTCTCCTACCGCGTATGGTCCAACGTTTCCTCCTTCGGACTCGACTCCGGCTGTTTTCTCTTCTCCTCAGTCACAGTCGTCTCCTCCTGTTGTCCCGCACGACTGGACCAGTCGTTGTCCTCTGCGTGCTCGGCCCTCGTCTCCTCTTGCCGACCTCTGCACTGTCTTGTTTTGTTCTAGTCCTCGTCGTTCTCCGCCTGTGTATGTTCTCCCCTCACCTCCTTAGTCGTCTCTCACTGTTTCCTCTCACCCTATCACTGACTACTACCGTGCTGCTCGCCCTGTTGTCTCCCGTGTTCTCGCCACTCTTGTCACCGACCCTCGTGCCTCTCCGTCGTCTGTCTCAGCTCTTACTGCCGTTGTCGCTGACTTTGCTTCCACCCGCCGTCTTAACTACGCCACGTGTGTGGTGGCTGCTCCACCTCCCCGTCCTTTGTCCGTCGGGGGTGAGTCTGCCCTTGGCTATGACGTCCTAGAGGGCAGGCAGTTTGAGCTGGAGTTCTTAGCAGCCGCTTCTCCCTCTCTCTACGCCATGCTGCTTTCCCTTGAGGGAGACCCCGCCGCCCTTGACATACCGACACCTCGCACGTACCGTGAGGCAGTGTCAGGGGAGAGGGCCTCTTAGTGGAAAGCGGCCATGGACACAGAGTTAGCGTCTTGGAGATCCACAGGCACCTACGTCGACGCAATTCCCCCTCCCAGGGCGAAAGTTGTCGATGGCATGTGGCTCTTCAAGGTGAAGCGGCCACCTGGTTCACCGCCTGTGTTCAAGGCGCACTACGTGGCTAGGGGTTTCAGTCAGCGTGAGGGAGTTGACTTCTTCCAGACCTTCGCCCCGACCCCGAAGATGACTACTCTTCGAGTGTTACTGCACATAGCAGCACAGCGAGACTACGAGCTGCACTCCCTCGACTTCTCCACTGCATTTCTCCAGGGCCGCCTACACGAGGAGATATGGCTGTGGCGTCCTCCTGGCTTCACTGACACCTTCCCACCTGGGACCCAGTGGAGCCTGAGGTGACCAGTCTACGGTCTCCGCCAGTCGCCCCGTGAGTCGCACGACACTCTTCGCTCCACGCTTCGTGACCTTGGGTTTCGTCCTTCCTCTGCCGACCCGTCGGTGTTTGTTCGCGTTGGTTCCACTCCATTCTTTATACTACTTTACGTCGATGACTTGGTCTTGGCTATAGCAGACAGGGCAGCTCTTGCTGAGGTGAAGTCCGAACTGCAGAAGAGACACACGTGCATTGACCTCGGTGAACCGCAGCGCTACCTTGGCCTGCAGATCACCAGGGACCGAGCCACTCGCACCATCACACTGACTCAGTCACACATGGTGCAGCAGGTCTTTCGGCGGTTCAGGTTTTAGTTCTCCACCACACAGCCTACTCCTCTTGCCGTTGACCACCGACTCACTGGCCCTTTTCCCGACGAGCCCTTTTAGTCTAGTGGTCCTTACGCAGAGCTTGTGGGCTGCCTCATGTACCTGATGAATTGTACTCGGCCGGACCTCGCCTTTCCCCTCAGCATCCTCTCTCGCTTTGTTGCAACTAGGAGACATCGTCCTGTTCACTGGACAATTGCTGTGAGGGTGGCAAAGTACCTTGCGACTACATCAGGCATGGGGCTTGTGCTTGGAGGGACACAACCAGTTGTGTTGACTGGTCACTTCGACTCTTCCTACGCTGACAACGTGGAGACTCAATGTTCGACTCAGGGTTGTTAGAACTAGGAATGATTGCATTAGGTCATGAGGGGAGTACAAGTATAATGTCAAGAGTAATCTTGTACCCCCTAAGGCTAAACCCACTACAGCCTAAATAAACATAAACACATGTTTTGACACACCCCCATAGGCGAAGTGGGGGATAGCCAGAGCAAGCAATGGTCATAAGACCAGTCAAGAGAAGAAGCAAATCAAAGCAAAGCTCGGGGTGGATCTCATGATCACCACGCATTCCAAGCACAAGCAAGCGGCCACAAGGCTACTTCACATGCAGAGTATATAGTAGCAAGAGCAGTACACTGATCACAACCTAGCAAGTGTAAGCATGCAGGTATACTAATGTATATCAGTGTATAACAAGGGCAAGGCAAGATCAAGAGACAAGCAGGTGAGGAAGAGTGGGCACAAGCCCAAGAGCAGTGCAAAAATGCTGATGATCACCAGACCCAAGTGTCAGAATATATTATATATATATATCCATGTATAACTGCATATAGTTATAGCTGTAGTGTAGTTACTGTTTTAGTCCCTGTAGGTGGTGCACCCTTTGCCATCTCTCGCTCCTATATCTTGTACCTTTTTCTCTTAGTGCACCACTCCTTCCTTGCTATTTCAACTCTCTCGACACTTGCCTAGCTCACACCCTAGCTATGGCTCATACAATTCTAACATGGTATTAAGAGATGGTTCTAACCTGAGGACCTACCCTCTTTGGGCCCACCACCTCCTGCCCTACGTGCCACCCTCGTGTGGCCCTTCTCTCGACATTAGGCCCCGGCCCGTCGCTTGTGCCCGTCGCCCCTAGGCCCCGGCCCCGTCGCCCCTAGGCCCGTCGCCCCTCGGCCCCGTCGCCCCTAGGCCTCGGTCCCGGCCCGTCGCCAGTCGCGCGTAGCCCCTAGGCCCGTCGCCCTTAGGCTCCGGCCCCCCCGGCCCGTCGCTCGCGCCCGTCGCACCCCTAGGCACGGCCCTACGCCCCGCAACCCCCCGGTCGACCAAGGCCCCTCGGCCCCGTCGCTCGCGCCCGACGCCCCTAGGCCCCGGTTCCGGCCCGTCGCCCGTCGCGCCCGCCGCCCCTAGGCCCGTCGGCACCGTTGCTCCTAGGCCCCGGCCCCGTTGCCCCTAGGCCGGTCGCCCCTCGGCCCCTTCTCCCCTAGGCCCGGCCCATCACCCATCGCCCCTAGACCCACCAGCGAGTTCGTGAATTCCAGCAACCGCTGCCCGTCGCCAGCCCCGTCGCCCGCGGACTCGTCGCCCAAGGCGCCGTCGCCTGCGGCTCTGTCTCCTGCGGCCACGTCGCCCGAGGACCCGCCCCCCCCCCCAACTTCGTTCTCCCTCTCCCTGCTGCGCGTGCAGCAGAAAAGGAGGGGGGGGGGGGGGGGGGGGAGGGCAGGGTGTTGGGGGCGCGGATCATGGAGGGTGAGGGGGTGGCAAGAGGGGTGCGGTTCCGGGGGGTGGCTGACCTAGGGGGTGGCAGGAGGGGTTTCTACAACACCAGGCACCCACCACCTCCTCCTCTCTCTCTCCCTGCCGCACCTTGTGTTGGGAGGGGGGGGGGGAGCTTGGAGGTTAAGGGGGTGGGGGGGAGGGGATCTGCAGCACCAGCCCCCCCCCGCCCCCCCCCCCTCCCCCCCCCCCCCCCCCCCCCCTTTCTCCTCCATTCCCCTGCTGCAAGTGCAGCAGTGGGGGGGAGGGGATCTGCAGCACCCGCCCCCCCCCCCCCCCCCTTCTCCTCCATCTCCCTGCTGCGGGTGCAGCAATGGGGGGGAGGGGATCTGCAGCACCAGCCCCCCCCGCACCCCACTTCTCCTCCATCCCCCTGCTGCGGGTGCATCAGTGGGGGGAAGGGTGCAGCCCTGTGCGCCCCGCGCGCCCTGCTGCCCTGCTGCCCTGTACGCCCCGTGCGCCCTGCAGCCCTGCGCGCCCCGCGCGCCCTGCTGTTCTGCTGCCCTGCGCGCCCTGCAGCCCTGTGCGCCCCGCGCACCCTGCTGCCGTGCAGCCTTGTTCGCCCCGCGCGCCCTGCTGCCCTGCTGCCCTGTGCGCCCCACGCGCCCTGCAGCCCTGTGCGCCCCGCGCGCCCTGCTGCCCTGCAGCCCTGTTCGCCCCGCGCGCTCTGCTGCCCTGCTGCCCTGTGCGCCCCGTGCGCCCTGCAGCCCTGCGCTCCCCGCACGCCCTGCTGTCCTGCTGCCCTGCGCGCCCTGCGCGCCCTGCAGCCCTGTGCGCCCCGCGCGCCATGCTGCCCTGCTGCCCTGTGCGCCCCGTGCACCCTGCAGCCCTGCGCGCCCCGCGCGCCCTGCTGTCCTGCTGCCCTGCGCGCCCTGCAGCCCTGTGCGCCCCGCGCGCCCTGCTGCCCTGCAGCCTTGTTCGCCCCGCGCGCCCTGCTGCCCTGCTGCCCTGTGCGCCCTGCGCGCCTTGCAGCCCTGTGCGCCCCGCGCGCCCTGCTGTCCTGCAGCCCTGTTCACCCCGTGCGCCCTGCTGCCCTGCTGCCCTATGCGCCCCGTGCGCCCTGCAGTGTTGGCCTGTGTGGCCACGTAAGTAAGACAAAGCTGACCACCCTGCTGCAGCTCTCGCGTGAGGAAGTAACAAAGAGCAATGTGATTCGTTATGTGCTCTAGTCTCTGGTCCTGACATAAGGCGATCATGGCCTTGTTTTCGACGTACAGAACTGGAGGAGAACAAGGCTGCTCACCCAAGTCGGCCAGCAGGTAGGTCAGCCAGCGGAGCTCCTTTGGAGCCATAGCCCCAGCGTAGATCTCGGCCTCACAGCTAGAACTAAGTACAGAAGAAGAGCGAGTGGACCTCGTCGAGACAGAACCAGTGTCGAGGCTGAAACTGTAACCATGTGTCGATCGGTGAGTCGTCTGGTCGTCAGCCCAAGAAGCGTCTGAGTGACCGGTGAGAACAACTGAACCCTGTCCTCCAAGCACAAGCCCCATGCCCGATGTAATGCACAAGTAACGCAGTACCCTCTTCGCAACATCCCAGTGCACCTTTCGGCGTCTACTGGGAGCCACATAGCGAGCCAGAAGGCTAAGAGGGTACACGAGGTCATGTCGTGTGCACGTCATCAGGTACATGAGGAAACCCACAAGCTATGGATACGGACCACTCGGCTCTACGGACTCGTCCGAAGGTGGAGCTGAGAACGAGTGGCCTGTAGGCAGAGGAGTGGGCTGTGGCGAGGAGAACTGGAAGTCGAAGTGCTGAAGGACCTGCTGCACCATGTGTGACTGAGTCAGGGTGATGGTGCGCTGTGCTTCGTCCCGGGTGATCTGCAAGCCAAGATAGCTTTGCAGCTCACCCAAGTCAATGCAAATACGTCTCTCCTGGAGCTCTGCCTTCACTAGGGACAGTGCCTCAGTGTCAGCAGTAGCAAAAACCAAGTCGTCGACGTACACAATAACGTAGAACAGCGACAGAGAGGTGTCTGTACGAAGAAACAGTGCAGGGTCAGCAGTCAAGGGGGCGAAACCAAGAGCCGCAAGTGTAGTCCTTAGTGTGTTGTGCCACTAATGGGGCGCATGACGCAGACCGTAGACTGGTCGCCGGAGACTCCACTGGGTACCCTCAGGAAACGACCCAGTGAAGCCGGGTGGGCGGCGCAACCAGATAGCCTCGTGAAGGCTGCCCTGCAAGAAAGCTGTCGAGAAGTCGAGGGAGTGCAGCTCGTAGTCATGCAGTGCTGCAACGTGCAGTAGCGCCCAAAGAGTGGTCATGTTTGGGGTGGGAGAGAAGGTATGGAAGAAGTCGACCCCCTGACGCTTACTGAAGCCTTGTGCAACGTACCGCGCCTTGAAGGCAGGCGGAGAACCCGGTGGCCGCTTCACCCTGAAAATCCACATGCCATCGACTATGTTGGCCCCAGGTGGGGGAACTGCGTCGACGTAGGTGCCTGTAGACTTCCAAGAAGCCATCCCTGCCTCCATGGCTATCTGCCACTGAGAGGAGTATGGACCCGTGATCGCGTCTGCGTAAGAACGCGGGGTCGGGATGTCAAGTGCATCCGGGTCTCCCTCAGGGCAAAGTAGCGTGGACGCAAGATAAGGTAAAGCGGCTGCTAGGCACTCCAGCTCAAACTGCCAGGAAGAGTAAAAAACAAGACCCGCAGCGTAGTCAAGGTGGCACAAAGCAGCAAAGTCAAAAATCTCAGCAACTAAGGCAGACGCGGTAGCGGACTAAAAGGAGGGGTCAGTCACAACCATGGCAAGAAGACGAGTGACAGTCAGACTGGCAGTACGGACAAGGTCTGACTCAAGGTCAGGAACGTGAGGAAGAGAAGACGCGGGAGGCGACGGCAGGACAACACACTGTGGAACAGAGGAAGGACTGATTGCCATAAAGGTGCGTGCTAGGGGGAGGTGGAGGACGAGGACGCACAGCACGATGAGTACGGACAGGCGTGACAGGAAGCGACGCAGTCTCTCTACGCTTAGTGAGGGACTCTGTCACCGCAGTGTGAGGAGCAGGAGCAGGCAGTGGGGAGTGAGGCAGTAGATGTGGCTGAGACTCGCCAGGTAGTGGAAATAGTAACGGAGGAGTAGTGCCAGCTACAGGGAACCCAGTAACAGCAGGCGCGAGACCAAGAAGGTGACTAAGCGCAGACTGCTGTGGGTGAGTAGTCGCATCCCCAAAACCTCCAGCTCCAATATCATTAGCACCCCCAGAGCCAGTACCGCCAGCACCACCACCAGGAATGCCCCAACGTACAGCCCATTCGCAAAGCTGCTGCGGCGAGAGCGACTCATGCTACCTAGTAACACCAACTCAAGTACCCCCAGTAGCACGTCCAGTGTCAGTACCTCCAGGGTCAGCACCTCCAGTACCTCCAACTCCAGGAACATTAGCACTAGCACCTCCAGGGCCAGTACCGCCAGTACCTGCAGCTCCAGCAGGACCACCCGCAACAGCACCCACAGCACCAGTACCTCCAGTACCTCTAGTAGCACCAGTGCCTCCAGCACTGGTACCTCCAGCACGACCAGCTCCAGTACGTCCAGCGCCGCCACCAGGGCTGCCCCATTGGACAGCCCACTCACGAAGCCGCTCTGGCGAGAGAGGCTCCTGTTGACGTGCACCAGCACCACCAGCACCAGCATCACCAGCACCTCCAAACGCAGCACCCCCAGCAGCTCCTGTACACGTAGGACACTCAACACCCCCAGAGCCAGCACCTCCAAAGTCCGCAACCCTAGTGTCACCAACCCTAGCAGCACCAGAGTCCACAGCGACGGGCTGCAGAGGCGGTGAAGATGGCCGAGGCGGAAAACCAGGAGGGACCGCCAGGCGCGCGCAGCGGCGAGGGACCACGGTGTCGGCAGCAGTCGGGTCACCCCCCTCAGCTGGGCCAGAGGTGTCAGAGGAGACCTCCAAAGGCTCAACCAAGGGGGGTGGGTCTACCTGAGACACACCTGAGGGAGCAGGACCGGGAGGAGGGACGGGGGCTACCGGGGAGGGGTCGACCAGCAGGGAGAGCGGCGGGAGGGGTACCGGGGAACTGTGGTGGGGGTGAAGACGGTAGAAGCAGACTGACTCGTCAAAAGTGACGTCGCGGGAGGACAGCACACGACGAGAGCCCGGGTGGTAAAACTGCCAGGGCAGTGGTCGGTGGGAAAGCCAAGGAACACGCACCGAAGAGTGGGTGGGGAGAGCTTGCCCGCAGCAGATCGCGGACAAGAGAGAGGGAACCCCAGACCCGAAACTCCGACACATCGCCAACCTTCCCTGTCCAACGTAGTGTAGGCGAGGTCTCTGGCACGGAGACACGGGGCCAGAGGTTGAGCTGATGCGTGGCATATCAGACTGCAAACGGCCCTGCTGCCCTGCGCGCCGTGCCCTGCTGCAGCCCGCGCGTCGCGCCCTACTGCAGCCCGCGTGTCGCGCTCTGCTGCCTCGCGTGTCGCGCCTTGCTGCCCTGCACAGCGCACGCCTAGCTGCCCTGCTGCTGCTACTACTCGTGCTACTGCTGTTGCTGGTGGAGGTGCTGCTAGGAGTGCTGGGAGTGCTGCTGGTGCTGGAGGTGCGACTGGGAGTGCTGGAGGTGCTGCTGGTGCTGGAGGTGCTGGACCTACTACTGACCGTAACTGCCTGTCATGGCCACTATCACTGCGGTTGCAGCGGCTAGGGGTGGACAGCGGCGGTCACTGCCTCTCCCGGACGACCCCACCCCTCAGCAGCTTCGCGAGTGGGTTCTTCAGCGAGCCCGTCTAGGTGGTGGAGGCTTTGATTTTCTACGTACTGCACAATGGTGGCAATAGAGTCTGCAGGAGACCTTCTCCCCGCATGTGCTTAGTGAGTTGTTTCCACAATGATGTGTCACTAGTTCCATCGAGGCTGCTCCACTAGGTACTAGTGAGTCTGCAGCCGCACTAGGTGCTAGTGAGTCTGCTGCCGCACTAGGTGCTAGTGAGTCTGCTGCAGCTTTAGGTGCTTGTGAGTCTCCCACCACAGGTCCTTCCTCAGCTAAGGCCTTGCACGCTTTCACACTTGACTCAGGCGCGTCACGTTGCTTCTTTCGTGACTGCACCACACTCACACCACTTGCTGCACTGGTACCGGTCTCACTGGCTGACCCTACTAGGGGCCCAGTAGTCGCACGAGCCTTCACTGTCCTCCCGTGTCCAGCACTCCCCTCCGGTTCTCTGTCAGGTCTCCACCTCCCCACGTTCTCCACGAACTTGGTGAGCGACGCTGCCATTCAGGATATCTAGGTTGATACCTTTATTCCTGGAGGGCAGCGTGTGGCGATCTGTATGTGCTCCCGGACTGGCCGTCACCTTGCTACGTTCAGTCGACGGCCTGGGTCTAGTCTGTACACGCTGACCACTGTGTCTGCACAGGTGGCTGAGTCAGGTCAGGTGACTGCATCGAGTCAGGTGTCTGCGTCTGGTCAGCTTGCAGCGTCTTGCTCATGTCGAGTACTCTCCCACCAGACTCTCCTCTAGCACCACCGCCTCGGTCACCCCTCCCAACCGCGTCTCCGCAGCATGCACTCCCGTCTCCTTCTCTCTGGCCTTCCCAGGTCCCTGCCCTCTCTCCCGCGCTCGCCTGCCCTGCCGTGCCTTCCCTGCGTCGAGGGGTGGCAGCGCGTCGCTCCTCACTCCTCCGAGTTTCCTCCGACCACTGCTCCTCTGCAGACTCTCCACATGGACGTTTGGGGCCCGACCCCCGTCGGTGGAACGGACCAGGAGCGCTACTTCCTGCTGGTTGTTGACGACTACACACGTGACACCACTGTCTTCCCCTTGCGGTACAAGGCGGACGTCAGCGGTGTTTTGATCCCCTAGATCCGTGCTACTTGTCGCCAGCCACGCGAGCGGTTCAGTCGGGACTTCCCATTCATGCGTCTGCACTCTGACAGGGGCGGTGAGTTCTGTCGAGACGAGGGCATCCACCAAGTCGTTCACGCTTCCGGCCTCTCCTCACCCAAATGGGATTTCTGAGCGTTGCATTGGCTTGATCATGGAGGTTGCTCGTACCTCCATGATCCATACGGCTGCCCCCCATTTTCTGTGGCCGTTTGCGGTCCGATACGCTGCGCATCAGCTCAACCTCTGGCCCCGTGTCTCTGAGCAAGAGACCTTGCCCACACTCCGGTGGATGGGGAAGGTTGGCGATGCGTCGGTGTTTTGGGTCTGGGGCGCGGTCTCCCTTGTTCGCGATGCCAAAGCGAGCAAGCTCTCCTCTCGCAGTCTCCGCTGCGTCTTCCTTGGCTTCCCCACCAACGCCCCGCCGTGGCAGT